CAAAACACATTTCATTAATTTTGTCACACCCCAGATTTACACGGTCTAGCTCATGTGAACAAACCACCTGAAGATGAACAACAGATCACAACTCTCATGCAATTGAATATAATATAGTCACATAATACGTGTGTTTATTCGATTTTATACACTTAAATACAACCTTTAAGTCGAATGGATGTTCTGTAACTAAAAACATACACGGATGTTATAAATTAAATTGAATGCCCTAAGACTTACATCATACACAAGGGTGTAAAGAATGACACATGGCCAATAAATAACATAAATGGCCCATGGCCTACAAATAACTGAACCACCCTATATGGTTCCGAACACAACTTCACATCACAGTCTACATCCACATATGTACAGCTACGTAGGGTGTCACGACCCAAACCTGCCCCTATAGGTTTAGTGTCGTAATTGGCCAATAATCCGCGATTACCAAAGGCCTAACTAAACCAAGCAAATGAGTGGGGCTAGCAAAAGCTATTATATAAGAAATAAAACATCCAACAAGCTATGAACTTACATGAGACAAAAACATAGCTACATATTTATATACACACATGTACATCCCGGTGTTACAAGTTTCTGATAATTACAACACAACCAAAAGAAATAAGCCATTCCTATCAACAACAAAATGACAACTGACCAAGGCGTGTGTGTGAGTTCAGAAGGGAAATCACTGGGTCAGCTAGTGTTCCAACAGATGGGAACCTCGACGCGAGGCACAAAAGGTAACACGACCAAAACGAAGGCAAGATTGCTGTCACTACGCCCCCTCTTGACCTGGATTACCTACATATACATATAAAAACATAAGCTAAAGCCTAGTGAATAACAGCTGAGTAAAGGGGTTCTGAATGATGATTTAAATATAAAATAAAATACATATTGAGCAGATTCGTATTACGTATGAGAAGCATAATACAACACATGGTATATTCAAAAGCAATAAATACAGGCGGTCACGAAGACCGAAGATCAGATATGATGACCATCACTACGATGAACAGGAGTTCCGTGGAGTGGAACTGTCAGAGAATTCTGTAATCACGTGCATGGATGCTCAGAATGCCACGATATACAGTGTAAACAGAAATAGAACCATCATTCAATGTAGGAAAACATAGCAGAGCAAAGCATAATTATAAAGTTGGAAATAAGTACTTTAAATTAAACATATTTTTACAACAGCGTTACCCACAGTTAGTTCCATAATGCAGATGACTGGAATAAGGCGTTTGACGTACATAGACAAATATAAGCGTTATTCACTTAATTTACCAAACACCTAACTAATTAGTCTTATGACTTAGGAATTGATAGGGTTTAAATGTAGTTTACTCTTGTTAAATGCTTATGCAACGCAAATGGACACCAATTACGGGTGTAAAACACGCTAATGGAGGCCCATGAGTAGAGTAAATGACACGAAAAAGTGAAATCGAGGCCGCCAAACAGCCACACGTGCGGAGCCCCTTGGCTGCACATGCGGGACTCCTTCTGCACGTGCGCCACGAGATGCTTTTATTTCAGAATGCTCCCAACACCTCCCTATTTTCTGTACGTGCGGGCTACCCAGCCGCACGTGCGGTTCTGGGTGTTCTAGAACCGAATTTTTGCTCTGTTTTTGGGGTTTCAAATTCCTCAAAATCAAACCCAAAGTCAATCAATTTAAGGGCCCAAAATTAACAAACAAGTATATAACCAATTTCCATGTTCAACTCAAGAATAGAACCTCAAATTCAAACTCAAGTTCCACAATCTCATAAACAATGTCAAGATTTAAGAGAAACAAAACTTTATGCATATAGGGATTCTATATTTCAACAAAACCATGGAAATCTAGCTTAGAATCATGCAAGACCAAGTAATTCAAGCAAAAATATGGAAGAATTCCTCCTATTAGGGTTTGTAACGCAACCTACACTACTCAATTCCTCACTCTTTCCTTAAATTCCATGAATTCAAGATGAAAATTAGTCTCATGCAAGAAATTAGGAAGAATTTTTTTACCTTACTGTGTTAATTGATGAAGTTGTCTCAAATTCTCTCATTCTTCTTGATCACTTGCTCAAGCTCAAACTCTAAAACACACTCTCTCTCTCTCAGATTATATCTCCCTCTCTCTCTCTTAATTGAGGTCACACACACACACACACATATATATATATATATATCTCTAGTTTAATTTAGCTTAATTAAGTGAGAGCCTCTTTACTTACATTAACTAGTTAATTAATTAAATTATTACTTGTCTTGGTTAAGGTGTACCAACCCTACCCACTTAGTAGTCTAGCTAATTTTATAGTCCTACAATTTAACGAATCAGATAGGTCTTTGCATGAAGGAACATATTTGTTAACAAACATAATGCACATAAGTAAGCATATAAGTCGTAGTAAAAGTAATAGCTAAGGAAAAGGCGAGTGTTACAGTCTCTCCCCCTCAGGGTGTTTGGTCCTCCAAACTCAGGTACCTTCTTCAGTGAGGAGTGCAGGGTCTAAAGGAAATAGCTCAGGGTATTTCTCTTGCATATCCCCTTCTCTTTCCCAAGTCGCATAAAAGCCACTGTGGTTTTGCCAGTCCACCTTTACCAACGGAATATCTTTATTTGTCAACTTCTTAACTCGACGGCTAACAATCTGAATAGGTCGTTCTGTATACGTATAGTCATTACTCACAATTATCTGAGTAGGTTCAACAACTTGTTGAGGTTCTAAGAGAGATTCTCTTAACATGGAAATATGGAAAATGTTATGCATGTGTTCCATATCCGGAGGTAGGGCTATTCGGTATGCCACTGGACTCAGTTTCTCAATAATCTCGTATGGTCTGATGTATCGAGGCGCTAACTTACCCTTAACTCCAAAACGAGTGTGTCCCTTCATTGGCGTAACTTTGATAAAAACATGGTTGTCGACTTCATATTCTCTTTCCCGTCTATGCACATCAGCATGTCCCTGAAATTTGAGTGTGGCATTTTCAAAACTGAATCTCGATCTAGATTTAGATGCCCATTCATCCACTATTTTCTTGAGGAATTCATCTTGTATCTGTTTCTCTTTAATTTCTTCCACTATTGCCGATTCATGCAACACTATTTTCTATCTGGCGAGTAAACAAGCTAAATTTCCCATGGACTTCCGCCTAAGGGCATCGGCTACTGTGCTAGCTTTTCCAAGATGATACATAATTTGCAAATCATAGTCCTTAATCAGTTCTAGCCATCTACGTTGCCTCATGTTTAATTCCTTCTGGGTACAGAAATATTTCAAACTTTTGTGATCCGTATACACCTCACATGTAGCCCCATACAAGTAATGACGCCAAATTTTCAATGCAAATATCACTGCAGCCAGTTCCAGATCGTGAGTCGGGTAACTCTTTTCATGTGGTCTCAGCTGATGGGAAGCATAGGCAATCACTCTTCCATTTTGCATCAACACGCATCCCAAGCCTTTATAAGAGGCATCACTATAAATGGTAAAGCCATCCGTCCCAGAAGGTAACGTGAGGATTGGTGCTGTCACAAGTCTTGTCTTCAACTCTTGAAAAGCTGTCTCTTGTGGTTCTGTCCACTCGAATGATACTCTCTTTTGGGTCAATTGAGTGAGTGGTAGGGCAATCTTTGAGAAGTCCTTCACAAATCTGCAATAGTATCCAGCCAGGCCAAGAAACTGCGAACTTCTGTCACATTCGTTGCTCTCGACCAGTCTATAACAACCTCTATCTTTTGTGGATCAACTGAGATACCTTCTTTCATTATCACATGTCCCAGAAATGTCACACTATCCAGCCAAAATTCACATTTCGACAATTTAGCATACAATTTCTTCTCCCTCAACGTTTGAAGAGTAAGGCTTAAGTGATGTTCATGTTCTTCCTTGCTCTTAGAATAGATCAAAATGTCATCGATAAAGACCACAATGAACTCATCAAGGAATGGCTTAAAAATTATGTTCATTAGATCCATAAAAGCAGCCGATGCATTTGTAACTGTGAAAGGCATAACAAGAAACTAATAGTGACCATAGCTAGTTCGAAAAGCAGTTTTCTCCATATCCTCAGCTTTCCCTTTTAACTGATGATATCCGGATCGTGGATCAATTTTAGAGAATACCTGTGCACCTTGTAGTTGGTCAAACAAATCATCAATATGTGGCAACGGGTACTTGTTTTTGATTGTCACCTTATTTAATTCCCGATAGTCAATACAGAGCCTTAAGGTTCCATCATTCTTCTTAACAAATAACACTGGAGCACCCTAGGAAGATGTACTAGGCCTGATAAATTTCTTAGTCAGCAATTATTGTAACTGAGTTTTCAACTCTTTTAATTCAGTAGTTGACATCCGATACGGGGTCTTAGAAATCGGTTGGGTACTTGGTACTATCTCAATAGTGAACTCGATTTCTCTATCAATCAAATTTCCGGGCAACTCATCTGGGAACACATCGGGGAATTCTTTCACTAATGGAACACTACTTATTTGGTTTAGCAGTAGTTGGCACCACTAACATAGAAAATAAAAATCCTTTACAACCCTTATTAATCAATCTATTTGCTTTCATGGAGGAAATCAAATATGGGGGAGATATGACACTATTCCCACTAAATGTAAAGTCAGGCCTTTCAGGTAAACGAAACACAACTTGTTTGGTTGAGCAATCAATTGTAGCACAATATTTCGCTAGCTAATCAATCCCTAAGATGACATCAAAATATGCAATGTCTATAGGTAACAAATCCACATACAAATTCATGTCTTCAATAACGATCTCACATGCAGGATACATAGATGTACAAATCATAGTTTCCCCAACTAGAGAAGTGACAACTAACACATAGTTCGTTAGTTCCAAAGGCCTAAGTAATTTTGGAGCAAAAGAATAGGACACGAAAGAATGTGTAGACCCTAAATCAATTAACACATGGGCATTCTGAGAACAGATAGGAAGAATACCTGACACAACCATCTCTGTAGTTTACACATCACCCGGTACCAATGCAAAAACCCATCCTTGCTTTAGAGTTTCTTTCCCCGTAGCTGCTTTCGAATTTACCCTTGGTGCTGACACTGATGTGGTTGAACTAGCCTTGGGCTGTCTTGTATTTTGGGACACTAAAGGACAATCCTTGATCATGTGGCTTGTTTTTCCACTCCAAAAACATGCACCCGAGATTCTACGACAAACTCCCTTATGTCTTTTCCCACACTCTGGGCAAATGGGTGTATCATTCCCTTGGCTCGAACTAGTAGATGATCCCATATTCTGTCTTTTGTTCGGTGGAATATTGAAATTGTTCTGACCCTTCTTGAAAGTAGATCCCGGCCTTTTACCCTTCCATTCAATCATCGGTGCCTTCGCTTGCCTTAGTGAGGCAACATTCGCCTCAGCTACAATGGATCTGTCCAAAACATCAACATATTTTTCTAATTTGAGTACATTAACTCGGTCAAGAACCTCAACGTCCAAACCGCCTTCAAACTTCCTGGCTTTCTTATATTCGATGTCTACCATATGTGGCGCATAACGCGCAAGCTCTGTGAATTTAGTTTCATATTCCACCACTGACATAGTACCCTGCTTAAGCTGCTCAAATTCTGTTACTTTATGGTCTCTCACACACTGTGGAAAATATTTTTCATAAAAGAACTTTAAACTGTGCCCAAGCCATGGCAGTCTGCTGATTCCGGACAAGCATCCACCATCTTCTCGCTTCCTCTTGCAGAGTGAAGGTTGCTAGCAAAACCTTTTGTTCTTCAGCACACGAGAACACTTCGAATAAATTTTCAACATCCAAAATCCAAGCTTTAGCTTTCAGCGATTCAAGGCCTTTCGAAAAGGTAGGCGGTTTCAGCTTGTTAAACTTCTGCGTCAGGGTAATAATGTCACCATTTTTAGGTGGCTCCACTAGAATTGGTGGAGGAGGTGTGGGTGGAAAGGGTTGTCTCTGTTGTTGTCTTAACGCTTCAGTTTGTAACTCGGTCATTCATTCTAGCCGGTCAATCCTTGCATCAGAAGACTCAAATATCTCTGCAGGTATTGTTTCTTCCATTGGGCTATATATAAACAGAGTAATAATAAACATAGGAAACACAAAGTTTACACGTGCATTATTACCACATAGGCACCCCAAACAACCACACACACTCACACATGCAGAGAATATGCCCTAATTTCTTTTCTAAGACATCCTATAGCTCATTTGGAAGCGTGTATACGATACAATTCATACTTTGATACCACTCTGTCACGACCCAAACCCGCCCTATAGGTTTAGTGTCGTAACTGGCCAGTAATTCGGGATTACCAAAGGCCTAACTGAACCAAGCAAATGAGTAGGGCTAGCGGAAGCTATTATATAAGAAAGTAAAACGTCCAATGAGCTATGAACTTACATGAGACAAAAACGTAGCTACATATTTATATATACACATGTACATCCAGGTGTTACAAGTTTCTGATAATTACAACACAACCAAAAGAAATAAGCCATTCCTATCAACAACAAAATGACAACCGACCAAGGTGTGTGTGTGAGTTCAGAAGGGAAATCACTGGGTTAGCTAGTTGTGGACTTACCTTTTTTCGCACCCCCCCCTTTCGGAAAGGGTTTGAAAAGAAGGCCTCACAGTTCGGACTCCCGCAGTTCTGAATCTAGTCTCACAAGTGCAATGTGAAATTGATAATCACCAAAGAGTCCAAATTCGGCAAATCATTTTGGAAAATCGATTTTAAATCAAATAATGCCAAAATTGGACTGCTTTTCTAGATACAGAGTCGCAACCTAAATATTTTATTTTGGCAAAATTTAGGAAACCCCGACTCGTGCCAAAGGCCACGTGTCCGGCATCACCAAAGTTGCCTCGGCTTGGGAACTTAGGTACTAGAGAGGAAGGCCCTGAAATAAGTACCCCCGCTCGCCCGATCAAAGATCGGCCTCTACTAAATATGATATGTTGTTTTATAAACACATGGGTTCTTATTCCGGTTATTAACTAGCTTTACTATGTGACGTATGCAAGCAAGTATAGACAAGTCGCAAGACTTAGAACAATTCAACTCATGTTTGTTTGCAAAAATGGTTTGAATTTGCCACCCTCTAGTGGGCTTAAAGATGCGGATTTGTCACCAAACACAGTGGGCTTAAAACATGATTTGCCACAATAAAGTGGGCTTAAAACACACATTTGTTGAATTGTTCTAATTCAAACAACAAAGCCTCTATCTACAGGCATTCATGCAGTTTAGCACGTAAGCACATAGCCTCATGGCAAGCATGCGAAACATGGCAATATGGCAATCACACTCATGCAAGTATGCTAAAGTGTAAAACTTACCGAGTACTTCAAAGCAAAACAAAAAACTAGTTAGAAATATGCATGATCCTAACTATACAAGATGCTAATGCAACACATGCAAAAAATGCGACTAAATAGGCTCGGCTACCTAATCATGGTATTTGTAACACTTTGATAGCATGCTTTGAAACTCATATTCAAAGAAGTATTGAAATAACAATGCAGTTTGCATGATGCGCCGAGCCTCGGTGCGTGCAAGACAAATGAATGGATGCAAGCATGCAAGCATAAGGTATGCTAATCAAAACATGTCCCTAATCTAACCATCAAAAGAGATTAAATAAAAGGAAGAAAGACGTGGGGTTGAAAGACATGCACACACACACACGCATGCTTATTACAACACCATGCCCTCGCGAAAGAAGGTCCGAATGAATAAGCTAACTAGCTACGCTAATTGTACTAAGCTATTACAAACCAAAACTAATTAACTATTCTAAACTAATTATTACAACAATCGGAACAAATTGACTAACTATTCTAAGCTAGCTAAATATTACAAACTGAATTGAGCTAATTAATTACAAAATGAATTAATTAACTAAATAGTTACAGCATTTGAATTAACTAGCTATTCTAAGCTAACTAAAGCAATTTAAATGGCCTCAAAGGCGAGGGACGCAATCATGCTCGGTTACTCCACCTGAAAATACCACCGCCTTGCCATCGGATGCCTCTGTTTGCACTAGTTTCATCACAGAAAATTGTGCCAACTCCCAGAATGCCTTTGCTGCAACTTAGGAGCACACTTGTGCAATTTTTCATTGGTGGCCGTCGGCTACCATAACTGGCCGGTCGGCTACTTCTAGTGGCCGTCGGCCCCTGCTTCTGGCCGGTCAGCCACCCCTGCCCCGAACTTCCTTTTTGCTACAACAGAGAGAAAACATAGGCAAAGTAGTGTATTCTCAAGGTTTGTGTGCATTGTTACCCTCCTTATCATTACACAAGTTCAAAGGAGTGTAATTCTCGGCCTTCAAACCATCAACCAAGCATTTTCAATGCATGATGGCTAAGGAGCCAAGCTTAAACAAGTTAATGAATGCAAAACAAGACTCGACAAAACCACAACCCTATCATGCATGATCAAGGGTGATGGTCAACAAGAAAAGTGACACGTTTAATCACTTTGAGTATGAAACGTCCCGTTTTTCTTGTGTTCGAATTAACGTCCGATCCGAACACATGCAATGCAACACAAAGATGCTTAATCTTGTCTCTTTTACTTTGTTTATTTTGTTTACATATTTTAACTTACCAATCCATTCTTTAATTGATTAGTCCAAATGGTGAGTGTCCTCTAATGGAAAGAGGGCTTAAACCAGAAGTACCCTGAGCATGAAAGAGACCTCACACTGTTGGTAATGAAGTTCCGAAGGAATTAAACCATTAGGCATGAGGGTCTCAATTTCACACTCAAGCCAACAAGGGATTCAAAGCAACTTTCAAAATAAATGAAAAAATGAAGAATAGAGGGAGATTGCAGAGATTTCAGTGTTGAAATGGAGTGCAAAATAACACTAAAACGTGCAAGCAACTCATGCAATTCATGCTGAAAAGCCTAAATCATTAAGCTAGTGAAGCCTCTTTACATTATAACCACACAATACAAGCCTCAAAGGACCAAACCAGCTCAAAACAGAGCTAAAACCAATCAAAACAGTAGCAAAAACATGCTAGCGATCCCGGGTTTACCCTTGTTGTACAGTGATTCGGACATGTGTCCGTGGATGTTGGTAGTTGTTTATTATCTTGTTTGCATCCTCTTTACTTTGTATATTGAGTTATAGGATGTGTTGAGCGGGTTTGTTACAGGTTGGTCGAGTTTAGAAACCAAAACTAGTTGCCCAAA